TGTCTTAAATGGCTTTTATCAGATTGAGATAAGGTCCTTTTATACCTATTTTCTGCATGGTTTTAATTGTGAATGCATATTGGATTTTATCAAAGAATTTTTCTGAGTCTATTGAGATGATCATATCATCTTTGTACTTGATTCTGTTTATATGATGGATTCCACTTATTGTGTTGCATATGATGAACCATCCTTACATCTCTGAGATAAAGCCTAGCTGGTCGTGGTATATGATCTTTTTGATGATTTGTTGCATTCTGTTTGCCAGTATCTTTTTTAACATTATTACATATATTTCATTAGAGAAATTGGGCAATAGTTATCTTTTTGGTTGGTTCCTTGTCTGGTTTTGGAATCAGGATAGTAGCAGTTTCCAGGAATGACTTTGGAAGTACTGCTTCCCTTAAATTTCACTAAAGAGTTTGAGAAATAATGGCACTAGATCTTCTCTAGCGATCTTGTGGAATTCAGTAGTGAATCCATCAGGTCTAGGCTTTTCTTAGTTGGCAGGTTTTTTTATTACTGCTTCTATTCCATTGTCTGTTATTAGATTATTTGAGTTTTTAAGTCACGTGAATTTCAAAAAAACTTATTTTTGTATTCTGAAAATAGTGCTAAAAAATCCATGCATTTTCCTAGCTTCTTGGATCTTCTACCATCTTAGATAATTAAATTTACATTGCAGTTGCCTACAGTTCTTTCCTAGAGGAAATAAAAGCAAAGCATATTTTAATTATGTTTAATTATGTACTTTACCAATGAATGTGCTACTCTAGGCACTTATTGTGCTATTATAACAAAACATTAAAAAATTGAAAGTTCAAAATTTGACAAGTGTCTTAATTTTTTTGGTAGATGACTCTTAAAATGAAAACAAAATCTAAAAATCAGATAACCATTTTGACAACTTGAATTAGGAACTTAAGTCTGTGAAAGACATTTAAGGAAAGTTATATGAATTGTAATATTTTTCTTATTCACTTTGGTTTTTAAATGAAAATTTTATTAAAATGACCTCAAAGGTAATTCTAAAGTCACAGAAGGCAAATATAAATATATTTTATAACTATTTAGACTTGAGTGTTTTTGAATAATTTGACCTTTTTATTAAAGCTCTTGACCACATTTTTGGCTATTAAATTTCTTTCAATTATAAACTGGGTCTCTGAGGGAGAGAACTTAACTGGGATAAACTGCTTTGACAACCTTAGAACACAGTGAAGTTCAGATAGAGGTAATTTTCTAAATATGGTTGACCTTTAACAGAACTGGTTATTTTCTTACCCATTCAGCTATGCAGCATGCTGCCAGGTCTCCACTTCAAGTTTTGCCAGAAATGAAAGCACATAAAAGTAAAAATAGGCTTGTTCATATTTAACTACATAAATGCTTATAAAATCTTATGGAAAACAAATGTATAGAGAGAAATTGCTTTTTTGTTTGCTCTGTCCACCAAAAAGTAACTAATTCTCTATAAAAAGAGAAAACTCAGCCAGAAAATGTCTGCTGTTTAAATTGTCAATCTTGAAGTGACAACAAGACAGTAAAACAACTACATATAATACAAGAAGACCCTCAAAATGAAAGCTGTGTTTCAAAATTTTGTGTTCATAGTAAGAAACTAAAATCTTGTCACTATATAACTCCCCATGGCTGGGCCGGGGATTGAGCCGCCTGCCTTGAAAGTGCAAGGTCCCGAGTTTGATCCCTGGTACCAAAAAAACAAAACAGAACAAACACAAATACTCCCCAAGGCTTTTGGCAGTAACATTTAAAAAAAATTTTTTTAGTCTTTTGGTCATTTGGAGTTGCAACTAAATGAAATTCCCATAAATGCAGTGAGCCTCAGGCTATAGCCTCCACCTAGACCCATGCCCCACAGATGGCCATCGATGGACAGCTCATGGGGTGAAGTGGCCTAGGAATATGTACCCTCTTACACCTAGTGCCTCAGTATCCCCTTGGCTCCCCAGCTCTCCCATGCAGTAGTTTTTTACTGACTGGAGAGGGGGGTGGCCTCCCCTAGGCCTCAACCATGCTACCCAGGTCACTAGGTATTGACAAGGGCTGGCCCTTCTGCAACACTGGATTCTCTTTTGCCCACCTAAAGCTGGGGGTGGAGAGCATCCAGTCAGGTCTGAGGTTCTGAGGCCAGCTATGACTGAGGAAGATGGAGCCTGGACTGAAGTTACAGTGAGGCCAAGACAAAGCCCTCCACTCAGCAATAGCCAGTATGGGGATACTGAGGAAGTGAGCACTGAGTTCCCTGAGACTCAGGGAACCAGTCACTCCCACCCTTCATTGAGAGAGGTGCTGAGTGCACCGGTGGAGCGAGTGTGAGGTAAGGTCACATCTGTCTCCCTGAGCTGACAGACCTTAGCCTCTGCTTCTTGCCAAGGGGCATTAAATGGCTGCATGCACACCTGACCAGGCCCTGGTGATGAGCCCTGTCAATAAAGCAAGATTTGGTAGAGGAGGGCGCCCTGTGGACCAGGCTGTTTACAGTCCAGAGACATGAGCCTTCATTGTGTGGGTCAGAAAATTCCCTCCACACTCCGGCATAAGGCACTTGTTTTCTTTTATCCTTGACTGGGACCTGCAGGTGGCAGGTCTCAGCTCATCAAGTGGCTCCAAAAGAAGCAACAGCACAGTCAGTGGAGAGTATACCACAGCTCAGGAGCAAGTGGGAAACCACGTGTGGCGCCACCTTTTGGTCAAGCCTTGCAGTCACATGTAAGGAGCATATTCCTTGGGCTTTAGGATTAGGAATAAGCAGCTTCATGTCCTGCACTGGCAAAGGCTGAGAAGAGCTGGGGCAATAGGATCCTGTGGGTACCTGCGGTAAGCAAACAGGGAAGAGAGGCCCGCAGTGAGCCACTCTATGTTCCTAGGGCTAGAAAGAAGGAACAGCCAAAGTGGAGTGATCCAGTCAAACCCTGGAGCTGGAGGAGGGGCCAAGGGTCAGTGATCCCTGGAGAACACACAAGGGTCTTAGCTGGCTCCCTGTCAGGCCAGTGTCCCTCAGTTAGCTTCCTGTCCACAGGCTAGATCTCCCCCAAGAGACCTCAGTGGGGAGGAGCAACCCTCAGAGTCATGAGATCTTCAGGCCTTGGGCCAACTTCCCTTTCGGAATGCAGCTTTTAATCCTTTCCGGAACATCTCCCATATTGCTCATGTGTCTTTGTGTTGCCCACTACTTTACTCCTTGGCCCTATGTGGTAGGGGTCCTTCCTATAAGGTTTCAGGAGAGACCAGAAGCTCTGCAGTGAAGTTGCATTGCAAAGGCCATGGAAGAAAACCCCGAGGGCTGCTTCTCTGGTAGCCATGAGTGAGGGTTTGAGTCACTCAGGGCAGGGCTGGCCAGGTGTGAGCCTGGAGCACACTTACAGGTGGGCCACAGTCCCTGGATCTCCAACAGTGAGTGGCCAGGTGCCGGGGCTAAGGTAAGGAGAAGCTTCCTAAGGAGCAAAAGCTCTACTCCTTCCTTGTTACTCCTGGGGAAGATGTTCACCTAACCTCCGAGGTACCCCAAACCCCCAAAGGGCTCAGTACCCTCTTGATTCCAAATTTAAATATCAATGATGCACATCCTCCAGTATACTTGAGAGTATATCTACATTGTTTATAATACATCATTGAATGTAAGTACTATGGAAACAGTTCTTTCACTATATTGTTAAGGGCATGATGACAGAAAAGGTCTGCACATATCCAAGTAAAAATGTGGTTTTCTCCCCAGTATTTTCAGTCCACCTCTGGTTGAACCTGAGGTGGTGGATTCAACCGCATGGATAGAATGGGCCAAGTGTAAGTTTACTGAGCATACCCTGTGCAGGTAGAGTGCTGTTTGCTCCTCCTTTGCCACACAGCAGGAAATTTTATGTACCTCGTATTCCATACAGAGTCACTGGGTGACAGTTCAGAAGCTTTGCGAGGTATGGGGCCAAGGGTGTCGATGGTGGCAGGCTGGATAGAAAAGGAGTCATGAGTATATCCTTTTCATGCTCCCAGGGAAGAAGAAAGGGACAGGGGCTGATGCGACTCTTTT